ACCTGGACCTCTTCAGCCTCCGCAAGAGAAGGTTGAGAGGCGACCTTGTGGCTGCCTTTAAGTTCATCACGGGGGCACAGAAGGGAATTGGTGAGGTTTTATTCACCAAGGTGCCCCCGGGGGTTACAAGGAATAATGGCCACAAGCTAGCAGAGAGCAGATTTAGATTGGACATTAGGAAGAACTTCTTCACAGTTAGAGTGGCCAAGGTCTGGAACGGGCTCCCAAGGGAGGTGGTGCTCTCCCCTACCCTGGGGGTCTTCAAGAGGAGGTTAGATAAGCATCTAGCTGGGGTCATCTAGACCCAGCCCTCTTTCCTGCATATGCAGGGGGTCAGACTCGATGATCTATTGAGGTCCCTTCCGACCCTAACATCTATGAATCTATGAATACCCTGTCCATGCAGTCCTGTCTGCCATCTGCCATGGTGCCAGGCCTGCGCAACGCCACCAAGAAGTTGGGCAGGGGACAGCAGGGCGGGCAGAGGAATCTGCACACTGTGCAGTCCAGCCCTGGCCAAGGCAGTGCAAAGCAGTGCAGGGTGCATCCCTCCCTCCTCAGGCTCCTGGCAGTGGCCAGTGGGCCAGACAGGATCAATTCACAGGCCATACAGGGCCCATGGGACATGTTTCGCCCACCCATGCCATAGCCAATGAAACCACAAACTTTAGGTAAAAGTCAAGTTTAATTTTGGCAGAGTAAAATACCTGAAGAAATTTTGCGATATGCTTTGCTCCTACATCAGTTAATACATTATATCTAAGGTCCAGCCCTGAAAGACAAAAAATACAGGAACAAACACGACCATCTAGTAATACTTATCAATATCTGACTGATCTCCAGAGGAAAAGAATGAACAATGAACCACAGCTGAAAAACTGTTCCTTGTTTCAAACTTAGAATACTAAAGATGCATTTTAGTATGACAAAGCAAACCTGTGATAAAGATGTTCTTGGATAAGATGCAGACAAGCATGTGAAGATCTTCATCTGTAATTTTCTGTACAGGCACTAAGCAGTTATTTCCAGCTATTTTTAATGTAAGCCTTTTTGTCAACCTGTAATAATCCAGAAATACAACAGAAGAAAGAAAACTTTTTAGTTTTATACATATGAAGAAAAAGAGATCTAATGGTGTCTGCTGTTATTTTTTATTGAGGTTATGAAATCTGGATCACTTGGTAGGCAATGCTAATTTCTGGCTGTCCACTGTGGTAGTCAGGACACACTGTATTGCCACAAGGCCATAGTGAGTTTGAGGCATAGAGGATGATCATTCTGGAAGAATATTTCCATCCATTCATTCCCTTATTTTTAATCCCTTTCCTTTGCTTACTCCATCCCCACAATAACTGAGGGGAAGAAAACCAATTCTCTCTTTCCATTTTCTCTCATGTTCCCTCAGGATTGCTACCTATAACAAGGTGGACATTCTGTCTAAAGGCAACTGTATCATGCCTGGTCACATCCTTGGAGAAAGCCAGAGAACTGGCCATAGTTTGGTGGTTAATTCAGCACCAGGCTTGAAAGACAACTCAGAGAAGTGCTACCAGCTGACTGCTAATTAGGTGCAGCTGATCCTGTTTAGACACATTCTCTGGCAAGGGAGAAAGAGAAAAAGTAGTAGTTTGTGCTGACCAGAAGCTAGGGTAGCCTGCTCTACAGGAAGCAGAGGCATTACCCCATCTGTGTTGCACTTCTTGACTTTACTGCTTGTAAAGCTGTCTGGCAAGAATATACTGCTAGAGGCTTTTGCCAAGCTGATGTCAATATGAGTTAAACCAGAACCCCTGCAATAATATGAGGGGTTGATTTATGTTTAAATCATAGACTCCAGTGAAATTTCTCATCATTCCATTCCTGGTCCTGTTACACAATCTACGGCTTTCAGAAACATTTGAAATATGCTCTTTGTTACTTCCTTACATTATATTGTCTTTATCAGCTTCTCGAAGCATATGTGCAATGAAAGGGTTTTCTGGCTGGTTTGATTCTTGGCAGACCTGCAAATACTGTTTGCAGAGACCTTGGAGAGTTGACATGACTGCTGGAAAATAAAGAGAGTTTACTAGATGCTGCATTTCTGTTCTGCATTTGTATTACCCTAGTGCCTAAAAGCCTTACTTGTGAACCAGCTTCTCATTGTACTAGGTGCTGTACAAATACAGATGACCATACAGAGCACAAGGAAACAACAGGACATGTTTTGTGCATTTCTAATGTGCCCATAAGAATGATTTTGTAGGAGGGCCAGCTTTCATATCTCATTCATTATTTGCGCATTAAAAGGAAGGAATCCCTCCTGCAATTTAACCTGAATCAGTGGCTGGTGGTAGACCTCCAAAAGAGATATACAACTTGGTTATTAGGGAAAGTCTGATAAACTGGCTAAGGAGACGGATGAGTTTTGGACTCAGCCTCATCTCTATTGACAGCTTCAAAATTGTAAAGCCTCAGCTTATTTGTCCTTTTCCCAAGCACTGATAGTTCAAGCCATGACTCTGTTCAGTGAAGATGCAGTAAAGTTGGAGATACTTCAGGGATAATCAGAGTTGTAGCTCATTTAGGACTATGAACATAAGGAGTAGCACTTTGAAATGGATCCAAAATTTGCATGGCATCTAATGCAAAGAGCCACAGAATAGCAACAGAATGTGTCCTATTGTCCATTTATACTGCTTAAAAGGCAGGCAATCCATTGTGCGCCATACCATACCATTAGCTGCAGTTTCAGACTGCTCTTTCGTGTTACTCCCCAGTTAAAGTGTCTGCAGTAAGTCCGGTTGGGAGATCCAAATGCATGAATCCCTGTGGGCAGACTATAACAAAGGAGGTATGCAAACATTTAGATATCAATAGGTGGAAAATGCATTTCAGGCAACTACTAATATTTGATTCAGGACCTGAACAGGATCCAAGACTAAAAACCATCTTGAGTACCATGAGACAGACAGACAGTCTCACCTCAAAATGACCCCCCATTCACAGATAGCCTCATCTCACTTCTACCAGGCATGATGCTTTGAACTCTAGGCACATAACCAGGTAGCAGAACTCAACTCTCAAAAATAACCGTAACTCTCTTAACAAAAAAGTAACAGAGCAATCCTGACCCCGGGGGCTGAGCTTAGGTCCAGGAGGTTCAACAGCCGACAAGGTGGTGGTAGCAGGGCTGATCTCACCTCCAGCCTTTAACAAGAGAAATAAAGAACATTGTGGTAGATGCCCTCTTGGCTTGGCACTGGCAATTAAGGCATGCGATTGGAGCCATATAAGTAAAAAGTGTATTCATGCCTCTCTCATGGACTTTGAAGTCAAATTCTGTCTTGGCAAACACACATGACTCCTCAGCATTCACCCCAGGCAGGCCATGTCTTCATTAAGGGGGAAAAACAAGGCATGCTCGTACCTAGGGGTAAAAGCAGGGGGGTCCAGTGGTGCAGCCGCCCTCATCCCAACCCTTTGATTCCTGCTCCACCCAAAATTGAAAACCAACTGCCTGGCCACAGCTGCAGCATTTCTAGCCAGGCAGGGCTGAGGGAGCCATGGGACTCACAGCTCTCTACCGGTTCCCTTTGAAACCCTTCGCTCCACAGGTGTCAACCGCCTTTTGCAAAAGCCTTGACGCTGCTGCACGGAGTCAGCCAGCCTTCCCGCGGCTCCCCTCGCAGCCCGGCCGGCTGCTTCTCACCCCGGGTACAAACACGGACCCCGGGGAGGAAACAACTTCTCTCTCGAAGCAGGGGAGGCGCTGGCAGGACGCCGGAGATGGCTTTCGCAGATCTGAAAATGCCTCCCCTTGAACTCCCACCGCTGCGGCACTGAGCGGACATACCCCGAGTTTACAAAACACCTCTCGCGGACGAGCCTGCGGACTTCACGCCGTGTCATCCACCTCCTGCATGCAAACAAACAAATGAAAAATCATGGACTAAATATAGACATTGGAGTTACCACATGTTATAAGGGACAGCCGACTCCCCAGGTACCTCGCATTCGCCCCCCACCCCCAAATGTACACCTTCCCTGCTGCACCCCAGCCTCTATTCAGCCCACCCCCCGCCTGGCGGAGGGTGCTTACACGCCAAATCTGGCAAAAAAGACTTTTTTCAACTATGAGAGCCGCTCCACCCACGAGCTCGCGCAGCCCCTTCCCCACCCGGGGCAACGGGGCTCAGCCCTGTGCGGCCGCGTGCGCATGCGCAGGAGTCCCGGAGCCGTGCCGACCGTTGCGGCGGCCGCGGTTGCCATGGGGACCGGGACGCGCTGCGCATGCGCCCCGCGCTCCACGCGGCCGCCCGGGCCCTACGCGCGGGGTG